GTTGTGGTGACCCCCAACCATAAAATTATTTTCACTGCTACTCTATAACTGTAATTTTGCCACTGTTATGAATCGTAATGTAAATATCTTTTTGTTTTCCGATGGTCTTAGGTGACCCCTGTGAAAGGGTCATTCGACCCCCAAAGGAGTCGCGACCCACAGGTTGAGAACCGCTGCCTAGAGTCTTTGCATATGGAAGTGCTTTTAGGACATTCTAGGAGAGGTGTTCTGTGCTGACTGCTGTCACATTTGACCCATTCGATAAGACAACCCCATCCATATACAAGATGATCACCCATCCCAAAGAGGAGCTCCAACAAAAGTTTCTTTGGTCAACTTGAATATATCAAATTATAATGATGAAGAAGAAATGATCATATGTCCATGACAATATTTCATGTAATTGTTTAGCTTTCATGAACATTTAAAATCAAACAGTGCGTAAAATAGTAGAGACTTAGATATAGGATGTCTTCCACTCCCATATCAAGAAACAATTATACTGAGACTGTTTACCCATCTTCAGTATCAGTGCCTTCCTCATCACTAGCTGAGCCACTTTGATTGGCCCAGGACAGTTTTCTAGAACATGTCTTCTCACTTCTAAGTTGTTAGAGATCCAGCGCTTTTTGAACCAGAAATCCTATTGCTACACATATCTGTTTGCATAACGTTGAGAACCTTGGCTTTATCATTTGAGGCCTGTTTTGTCATTTCCACACTGTCACCACCAACTAAGGAAATCGTTTTTTGAAGTGACTTTAATGGCTTGTTTGCAGTGATAGCCAACACATGCAATTAAAAAGTCTTCACTGCAGGAATAATGGCTAAATCTTTGTTAAGTGGATTTACCTTTTTTTGACTGACTCTGTCAAGGGACTTCTGTGAGCATCCCAGATTAGCAGTGATTGAGTTTATTTCAGGCTAATGTGTCTTTCCCCAGTTTTTTTTCAAAGTTAAGTAATAGAGTTCTATCAACATAATATACATTGCAAAGACTCGAAAGGACCCCCTTGTCTGATGGTTAATTTTGGGGGGAGTTATAGACAACAGTTTTGAAGGTAGAATAAGGAGTTAGGAATCAGAAAATGTAACTTCTGATGACAGTTTTCTGTTCTGTGTTTATTCTGATCAGTGCCTGGTTAGCTCACAATTGAAAGTTGAAGCCTAACTATTGAAAGTTGCTTCTTGCTTTGCAGGTCTTTCTGTGATTCTCCACATAATAATTAGTACACGCTCAGGTGTTAGCAAAAGTCCTTTTGGAAATGGGGAACTCCGCTATCATTTGATTAACTTTCCCATTACTTGCTGCTTACCCTTGCTAGGAAAACAGGAAGTTGTTTGTTGTGTATTTTGAGATCCTTAGATGAAAAACGCAGAAAACAAAAGTATTATTCTTAGTCCCTTAACGCCAGAATTCCTCTTCATTCTGTAGGACCAGTAAAGAAACAGTGAGTGAAATTTGCTTATTGTTTGTTATGGTCCTAATGCCATAAAAGTGTTTCCTGGTATAATAATTTCCCGTAAACGTCTTCCTACCAGCAGGTTTTAAATAGGAGGTTTGGGTCATATATAAAACATTTACCTCTCCCTGTACTGCCTGGGTGACATTCCATTACTGTGATTTCCTTTTTCAGCTTGGCAATACCCATAAATAAAAATGAAAAAATGCTCCGGTCGCCCATCTCACCCCTCTCCGATGCCTCGAAACACAAATACTCCAATGACGACTTGACATCTTCCAGCAGATCCAACGGCAATGGCTTGTTCACTTCCGCCACCTCTAACAAGAAACATAAGGCTGAGAACCAGTTGCAGTCCCATGCCGGAGACCTCGCGGTACGTTGGTGCTCTTCCCTTCCTGATTAAAATAAAGAGCCGTGCACGCCCCTGTACTCTGTCTCCAGCCCAGCACAGTTGGATCACAACTTGAGGTCCCACAGAGGATCCCCAAGGCTGCTCTGGGAAGTCCTAGCACCAGAGCACGCTCCTATGTTAACCCCTACAGAGAGCTGTGAAGGAAGGCACCCAGAGGGGTAGCCTCTTCTGCTGAGGAAGCCACTTTGTAGGATTTCATTTCTTAGTTTGAAAAGAAATCACCCCAAAGTTACACTATCCAGTAAACACTATATTCACAAAATAATACGAATAATATATTGGGACTTTTAGACCAACCCACCTTTTCATGTGAAAAGATTCTTTCCCCCAGGACAGAATTAAACCTGGGATGGAAACCCCAGGCCAAAATGTCGGGGCTCCCACTCCACCCTTGATGACCACTGTAGAAGCCACAGTGTGGCACCCCCGCCACTGCCCTCCTTCCAGCAACTTCCTCGGTTGATTCTAGAGCTCTGCATTCCCCCGGGGAAGAGCAGGGGATTGGGTCCCACAGTCAGTCTAGCCTCACATCTTAGTGGCCACGTGACCTTTGGCCACTTGCTTCATCTCTCTGAGCCTGTTTCATTTGCAAAATGAAAAACCCTTCTTTGCCTCTATATTCTTATGTCACAAGCAACTATGGTGTGCAGAGAATTGTTAAAAATATATATGGACTTTTTTTAGTCATTCTTTCAGCAAACAGATGTTTATTGAGCAAGTACTTACTGTGTGGCAGGCACTGTGCCCCAGCAATGGAGATGCAGTCGTGACCTAACAGCTTCCATCCGTGTCTGCATTCAACCTCCAGTCTAGCTGGGGACAGTGACTTGGATGAGGGATCACACACATCCATAATTGACAGCCATGCCTGCCAAGAAGGAAACGCACAGAGCACAAGAGGTTCTTATAACAAGGAGATTTGATCAACACATAAAACTGGTCCATATTTAGAAAAGCCTTTATATACACTCGATTTTAATTATCTCAGAGGAGTTGATGTGAATTTCATGACCAAAGAGATGGTTGTTTTCTGATCTACATGTTAAGCATACAACGGGTGCTCTATAAATATTTGTATCCCCTGGAAATAATGATTTTTTAAAATTTTCTCATAGATCAATAGTGTTCCTTCTTAAAACACACTTGAAATAATTTCTAGTAATTCTCTTTGGCTTTTTCTAATCTTCATAGACAGTGAATGAGAACCAGTCAATTTGCAACCTGTGTGACTTCTCCTTTGTGCGGGATTGTAGGTTATACAGCTCAGTGGCTCTGAGAGCTTGGGCCCTGGGTCAGCATCACCTGGACCTTGTTAGAAATGCGTGCTCTCAGGCACTACCCCAGACCAACTGAAGTGGAGACTCTGCAGGTGGAGCCCAGCTGTCTCTGTGTTAACAAGTCCCCAGGGTTATTATGATGCAGTCAGCTTGGAGAACCACTGGGCTAGTCAACTGGGAAAAATAGGGGTCTGAGCCTGAGCCCTGGGCCTCCACCCACACCCACGATTTGAGCTTGGGCAAATTCCTTAACCTCACAAGTCTCAGTTACTGGATCTCTGAGGGTGGCCACATGAAGACTTCCCTTTCAATAACTGTTGTGGGAATGACATGGGAAAATATTGGTGAAAGCCCTCAGCTTGAGAACTAGAACGCATGATCTCTTTTTCTTTATTTAAACAAAAAAAAAGCACCATCATAGAACGCGACCACAAAATCGTCTATATAGTGGGTTGTTCCTTTCAGCTTCTCAAAGTCTGGTGTGTTGTTTGTTGTTTAGAAGGCAGCTCACAACAATTCGGAAAATGTTCTCCACAAGTCACGGCCACAGACAGAGCCATGGTCTCCAGGCTCCAACGGCCACCGGGACTGCAAGAGGCAGAGGCTTGTCTTCGATGACATGTGAGTNCACTGCCCATGAAGCTGGCGTTGCCCACAAATTCTGTTCTAAGTGGATGGTACCCCCAAGCTAGTGGGAAAATGTCAATGGGGAAAATGTGATTCCAAATAGTCTTTCAAAAATGTGCAGTATCGTTAATGCTTCTTCATCAATGCATCAAGTAACTAGCAGATCTGGTAACTACCATAATTTCTAATAGTGATGAATATAAATCCTATTTCAAGAGGTCTGCAATGACTGTTGTGTGACAGGATATATCCGCGATTTCTACTGGTGACACAATCACGGGTGTTGTTAGTACTACCCCTGCCAAACCACTCCTCTGTGTTTGATGTCAGTGAGAGGTTAATGAAAATGAGGATGTAACTTTTTCCCATCTAAGTTCATGGACCCCGGGATATAAGCTCTTGCTCTAGAGCAGCGGTTCTCAACCTTCCTAATGCCACGACCCCTTAATACAGTTCCTCATGTTGTGGTGACCCCCAACCATAAAATTATTTTCACTGCTACTCTATAACTGTAATTTTGCCACTGTTATGAATCGTAATGTAAATATCTTTTTGT